TTGCATGGCGATCGGAAAGAGCTAAGTCAGGGCTACACGAAGACTGTGGTGGAATTCCCAGCTAAGCTTCGGGATCTCGAGCAGTGTCGTTTTCCAAATGTGTGACCCTGAGCTGTGGTGGAGTAGGCAAACATTGCTCGGTTTTGGGACCAAATGTTAGCGATTTTCGATACCCCTTTGCAGAGCTGAATACAGTAGGGTTCGTAGGTCACCACAGCGCTGAGAAGAAGAAATTCCATTATGGGAAGGGAGAAAGAAACCCCACCACATACACAGTCTCACCGCCCTACTGGATTGATAGGATTGCGCGATCGGTTCTGCCCTTTCTGGGGGATCTAGCCGCTGGCGCTCCCAGGAGTGATTCACCTAGAGGCACCCACTCCATATCCAGTTAGTGCTGTTCAACCAGTCCGTACAGCGGAAGCTGGGAGAAAAGTTGTAAACAGTACACATGTGCTCCTTTGTTGGTCAAATCATGGAAAAAATTTTTGAACGATTCAAACTTTTCTAAGGAGCGAGGCCTCTCTCATTTGTGATTTGGGACCAGTCAAGTGTAAGGACTAGATAGCAAGTTGATTTGTACGTATTGGTTTTAATCAAGGAACACAGTAGGTTCAATCCGAAGGCAGGTGGCCTCCTTGGACGAAGTTTTTCACCCGGATAGAAGTCACTAAAGCGGAAGCAATTGGGCCATTCCAAAGCCGTACTGTGGAAGGTAACATCAAGATCTAAATAAGGGAAATGCCGCTTATGGCTCCAACCACGTTGTGGCTTGGTAGAGATTCATATAGCGAAGTGTGTCGAAAATGATGAATTTCAATTACCGTTTTTCATATGAGAACAGCGACTGCGAGGGACGGTGAAGAAGCTGTGGAATGCTTACCTCACACACTTCCCATAGACCACATAACTGGATCTCGAAATGGCTGCGGAAAGATCTGATACGAGATTCAAAAAATGTCCACGAACTTTTGGGACAACCTAATATTATTTTTGATAGTTGATCTGAGGTCAATACTCCCCCACCCCCCACCATCCGACGGGAAGTTTTTGGTAAGGTGACTGATCGGTTTCGAAATGGCGTCGCACCAGAGGAAGAAAATAGGGAGAGGGCATTTTAGAAAAGATTTTCCCCAACACTAGGACGTGCGTTGCTCTAAAGGCGAATAACCTATCACTTTGGCACGAAAAGCCTGGGTCTCGTGCAACAGGCGTCGATTCACTCTGGCACGAAAAGCCTGGGTCTCGTGCAACAGGCGTCGATGTCGCAGAAATGCTTCGACGCAGGAGCCTCGTACCGCGGCTGCCAAGCACGTCGTGGCATAACTGGGCTCAGGCGGGTAGGAATTGGCTACATAACTGGCATTACGTATTATTCTGTGGCACAATCGATCTCCCCTCCCTAACCGCCTGAACCTCAGCAACACAAGGGATACTAATACGAAAAAAAATTGAAGCCAGCCAAAGTATTACCTCGGGAACCCAATATCGAAAGCGACAGGCAAATTGATGATAGCGATTCGTAACCATGTAGACGGCCTTAAAAGAGAAGAAATGTTAAAAGACAAGGCGAAAATCAAAGGCGAGTGAGGCGCTGTTCGGCTTGGAAGGGGGCAGGGGTGCATCTTTTGCATCTCCAATTAGTTTCCCTGTTATTCGTGTTTGAATAAAGAAGAAAACACGTCCTCACGTGCGGTAAAATTCTTAAAGCTCCTTTCCCAGAAATTTTGCTGATGAGGAGGGGGGGGGGTCGGTACACATGAAACAGAAAAAATCACGAAAACTCAAAAACCGGGGAAAATTTTTTTAACACGGCAGCTTTTTCTTAAAGTCACATACGACTCCCCTCCCCCCTCCCAACAACGACTAAATACGACTCCCCTACCCAGCCGAAAAGTACGACCCCTCTAGGTGTTTCACACCACGATGCTGTACCCTGTTTATGATGAACAGCAAGCTGTTCGGCATGGATGAGAGCACCGAATGGTAATCAGCTATGTTTGTACAGGCCACCTTGTGAGGACCTGTAAATACAACCTTGTGAAACCTGTAAATACATGTGACCAGAATGGCTCACTCGCATTATTTCACAGCTTTGCAGGAGTTTACAAATTTTACCGAAGGTAAGACCTGTTGATTCAACTAATAGGGATCTAACTAAGGTGCAGTGTGCCCCCAAGCCGGACAGCGCCTGACTCGCCTTGGGTTTTGGCCTTGTCTTTTATTATTTCTTCTCTTTTAAGGCCGTCTACATGGTTACGAATCGCTATCATCATTTGCCTGTCGCTTTCGATATTGGGTTCCCGAGGTAATACTTTGGCTGGCTTCAATTTTTTTTTCGTATTATTATCCCTTGTGTTGCTGAGGTTCAGGCGGTTAGGGAGGGGAGATCGATTGTGCCACAGAATAATACGTAATGCCAGTTATGTAGTCCATTCCTACCCCTGAGCCCAGTTATGCCA